TGTTCGCCCAAAGCCCTGTTAAAAAAAAAAGTATATGTAACAGAAATCTAAGGCAGGCTTTCCCAAAGTGGGTGACGCGGCACCCTGGGGTGCCGCTAGTGGCTAGAGTATACTAGTTGTGCGGGCAAATTCTTTAGACTTTCCATACACAACGCAATTAATTAATAATTATTATATTACTTCAGTGTATTTTAAAAATATTATTCCTAAAAATATATTGTTCTTAAAATGCCTGAAAAGAAATTTAATTTTGTGGCACTTACATCCTCTTTTCGGCACTATTTTCGAAGACCATTAGGCACATTTTGAAATTTTGAAATTCCATTCCTGGGCTGGGCTGTTCTTGTAACAAGCGCAGCAGCTTCGCGCACGTGTATATTAGAGTGGCCTCTTTTGGTCGATTTTCAAAAACCGAAAGTTTTCGCACGAAAAAACATGAGGTTGGCAAGGAAAATAAATATGAAATTTGTTTTTTCCGGATCCGGAAATTCCGAGTGGTTCCGGGTTGATCATTTTGATTTTTTAATAGGAAATATGTTGAAATTGAAATTATTATTTTAAGTTTTCAGCTTTTACGACCATGAAACCCAATTTTTTATTCCTGAACTGTTTTTTATTGAAAACTGAATACATTTACCTTTTTAAAGTGCTCAAAAAGTCTGACATTGATTGGAAAACCATGGTACACGATAATATTAAAGCTGCGAAAAATATGAAATCATCATTTATATCAATATATCATTTAATATGTAATAATAATAATATTTAATATCATTTTAAATAAAGCATAATGTATAATTTTTCTAATATATACTTTAAAAAAAGGAATGCAAAATAAAAGAAATTGGTGTAATTTCGACATTTTTGGTCGAAAAAGCTCACCCCGGAACCTCTAGGAATCACCTGAAGGCTTTTAAACTAATTACGTACTTATTTTTATGCCCAACCTCACATTATTCCGTGCGAAAACTTTTGGATCTATGCATTTAAAATTCTTCATACAACAAAAAGACCACTCTAGTGTATATGTTACTTATTCTTTGGAACTTCACAATCACACTGAAAGATCGAATCCACACGATTTTAGAGGAAGTCCAGAACGAAGTTATATGAAGTTTGAAAACTTGTGAAATTTTTAGTTTGCCACTTGACGACAGTACCGATATAGTTGGACTTAATGTTCTTCTCGTGTTAGTGAGGTACCCATTCGTAATACAAATCGAAGAAGAACTTTTGATGAGCGAAGTACTTGAGACTTACACCACTAGCGTCGAAATTTTTAAAGCTATCGAAAAATTTTTACAGAAAAATGGTTTGAAATGGAGCAAGTGTGCGGATATTTGCAGTGGTTGGAAAAACGAATAATGATCAGTTGTCCCTAGGTCACCAATCTTGACCGCCAGTACCGCTGTCGCCCTAAGGCCGAGATCGCTACCGAAGACCGCCCGCAATCTTTATCGAGGACAGACATTTGTACTCACTGTCATCCAGGGCCGCCACAATAATCATCATCACCGCTAGGGCCCGCATCGCTGCTCTAATCACCGAGGGCCGCTACTATTACTGCCGCCCCCAGGCCGAACCTACAACCTTGGGCCGCCCGCCATCATCGCCGAGGACTGCGAACGCTAACTATCGCCAACCAGGGCCGCTGTCACCGTTGCCACCACAGGGCCCGCTGCTACTATCTTCATTACTGGGGCCGCCGCCATTATCGTCGCCCCAGGCCGACTGCTACTACCCGTCACGAGTACGGTAATCGCCACTGCCATCATCGCCCAGTACCGCTGTCACCGTCGTAGCTAAAAAGGGCCGCATTCACCCTTCGCCACAATCAGGGCCGCATACAACACCACTGCGGGAGGTCGCTGCCGCCCTCATCATTATGTGGGCCACTGCCAACGTCACCGTTAAGGCCGCCACTAGGCGCGGCGCAATTACGTTAACACCGTAGCCGGAGTTGCCGCGCCAACACCACTATATGGAAAGCGCCAGCGCCATTAACACCAAGCAACACATGAGGCAGCAACACAATTCGCCTTTGAAAATTTACACGTACTTTGTTTTTACTTTTTAGCGTTGAAAACGCAAATTTAAAACTTTTACTCAAGATTGATGAGAATATCGTGGCATTTACTACATTCCTATCAATTAAATTTGGTTGGCGGTACAAGCGTTGCTCAGCGCCGAAAATTATAGAAATAATAGACATGACACCACTGTATGGTGTACTACACTGTATGACGATGGGTACTGTAGTGACACTCAGATGGCACGGTGTTCAATTCAGTACACTGCACTATTGCGCTGAGTTAGTGCGCTGACACCATAGGTGGCGCTGTCGTTATTGAGCTAGCGCCAAAAAAATTGCGCTATTACCCATGTCTAGCCGCCACCACCACTGCAAGGGAACTGCAGGCTGCCGTCGCAGCCAATTGGCAATTGCAAAACCGATGGACTGACAAGGAAAAGGAAAACCGGGAAAGGACGCGGTAGATATAGCGATAGCCACTTTCAAGCAGTTTGTTAGAATTCACACCATTCTAGCAACCAAGGAACGCTGCAATAACTTTTCGCCTTGCAAACTTTCTGGATTACCTGGTATTTCTGGCAACTTCCTAATGTGGAATCATAACCTGTCTTGACCTCCATATGCGACATGTAGGGCCAAATGCAAAAAGTTACCAAATTGAAAAATAAATTACCAAATTACCAAATTTGATAAATAAAGAGAAAAAATACCAATTTTGGTTAAAAATTACCAAAGCGACAACGCTGTTCATTACATGCCAGACGCATACATACATACATATGTATGCATGTATATGTCGTTAAAAAATATTTCCTAAGTTGTATAGACCTAGTAGAAATTTTATGCATACGACATCGCTGCTAGTGGCATGAACTTGCTGCTGTGTATACATGCCAGTATAAATGAACCTGCATTTCATATTATCACGTGTGGATTCTCAGAGCGTATGCGTACTCTAACCATACTTTTGTACTACTGCTGTATAGAGTCCGACCGATTCCAATTTTTTTTCAGGTACCGATGCCGATTGATCGTCTAATGGGGAAAAAATTCATAAAACATTACAA